TATTAGAAAGATGTTATTTTCTATCAGAAAGGTGCTTTGTGCTTAGGGCAGGCCCTAGAAATTTCAGATCACATTAATCTCATGTTAGGGGTTGGGATTACTTGAAGTTGGGTATTATTTTCTGTTATGCCTAGTTTATTTAAGGTTCACCTTTCCTCCTAGGATATCCCTTTCTCTTCATGATCCTGACTCAAGACATCAGGAAGTCACCCAGCTTGGCAGGTCCCAGACTTCAATTTTGCTTAGCTTCTCAATCTTTCAGTTTCCTCTTCTAAAATTAGCAGATTCCACTGCAATCACCAGGTACAGTACTCTAGGTATTCTTTTTCTCCCAGATGTTGACTCCATAGTTTTTTGCTGCCTTGTTATATTCCAGTGTCTTCAAGTGATTAAAAAAAATTTAATCCAACTTTTCCAAGTTGTTCCCTGTGGGAAAGTTGATCTGTATTACCTAGTTTACTATTATTGGTATCTCTCAACCTAGTCTTTAGGTGTTAACTTACATTTTCATTCCTTTAAAAAAATTTCCTTAAACTTCTGTGGCATTCTGATTTAATATTTTGTATGGAACATACCAATATTTCAACTTAATTCTTTTTAGGTCTAACTGTGCCATCTGTTGTTTCAGCAGTTCTCCTTACCTACTGTCTTGTTTACCTGTGTGTTTTGTGATTTTTTTTTTTTTAATACTGTGAGTTTCACATATCTTGAAACTTTATTTGTGGGATTCTTTTGTGGCCTGAGTTGAAATGAGTTCCTCTGGGGGCAATTTTGCTGCTTCTATATGGTGCCTGTGTAAAGTTTCTCAGACCCCCAGGGTGGTGCAATTTCATACACGGAGCACATGAAAGGGCTAGCTTATAATTTTAAATCCTGGAGAGTTATTTAAAAAGAAAAATCTCCACCATGACCAAGTGGGCTTCATCTCAGGGATACAATGATGGTTCAACATATGTAAATTAATAAATTTGACTCACCACATAAATAGAAGCAAAACCAAAGACCATATGATCATCTCAATACATACAGCAAAAGCATTTGACAAAATCCAGTACCCTTTTATATAAAAACCCTCAACAAACTAAGCACAGAAGGAACATATCTCAAAATTATAAAAGCTGCATATGACAAACCCACACCAACATCACACTGAATGGGGGGAAAAGTTGAAAGCATCCCCACTAAGAACTAGAACAAGATAAGGGTGCCCCTGTCACCACTTCTATTCAACATAGGGCTGGAAGTCCTAGCCAGAGCAATCAGCCAAGAGAAAGAAATAAAGGATATCCAAATTGGGAAAGAGGAAGTCAAACTGTCACTTTTTGCTGACAATATGATCTTATATCTAGAAAACCCCAAAGACTTCACCAAGAGACTCCTGGTATTGATAAATACAGCAATGTCTTGGGTTACAAAATTGATGTACACAAATCAGTAGCATTCCCATACACCAATAAAAGTCAAGCTGAGAGTCAAATCAAAGACTCAATACCGTTCATATTAGTTACAAAGAAAATAAAATACCTAGGATTATACTTAATGAAGGAGATGAAAGAATCTCTACATGGAGAACTACAAAACACTGAGGAAAGAAATTGCAGATGACCTAAACAAATGGAGAAACATATGCTCATGGATTGGTAGAATCAACATTGTTAAAATGTCCATACTACCCAGAGTGATAAAGATTCAATGCAATCTCCATCAAAATACCAATGACATTATTTCACAGATCTAGAAAAATTAATTCTACACTTCATTTGGAACCAGAAAAGAGCCCATACAGCCAAAGCAACCCTAAGCAAAAAGAACAAAGCTGGAGGCATCACATTACCAGACTTCAAACTATACTACAAGGTTATAGTAACCAAAACAGCATAGTATTGGTACAAAAATGTAGAAATAGTCCAAAGGAACAGAATAGAGAACCCAAATATAAAACCATCTACCTATAGCTAACTGATCTTTGACAAAGCAGACAACACCACACACTGGGGAAAAGAAGCTCTATTCAACAAACAGTGCTGGGAAAATTAGATAGCCACATGCAGAAGAATGAAACAGGACCCCTATCTTTTGCCACTCACAAAAATTAAATCAAGATGCATAGAAAGACTTAAATATAGGGCATACAACCATAAGAATTCTAGAAGACAATGTAGGAAAAACTCTTCTAGATATTGGTTTAGGCAAAGAATTTTTGACTGAGACCCCAATGGCAATTATATCAGCAATAAAAATATATAAATGGGAATTGATTACATTAAAAAGCTTCTGCACAGCTAAGGAAATAATCAACAGAGTGAATAGATAAACTACAGAATGAGAGAAAATATTCACAATCTACACATGCAATAAAGGGCTAACATTAATAACTAGAATCTATGAAGAACTCAAACAAATCAGCAAGAAAAAAATTAACAACCCCATTAGAAAGTGGAAAAAGACATGAACAGAAGTTTTTCAAAAGAAGATAGACAAATGGTCAACAGACATACAAAAAAATACTCAACATCACTAATCATCAGGGAAATGGAAATTAAAACTACAATGAGGTATCATCTTACTCCTGTTAGAATGGCTTTTATTAAAAAGTCCAAAAACAATAGATACTAGCATGGGTGCAGAGAGAAAGGAATCCTTAGACACTGTTGGTGGGACTGCAAATTAGTACAACCCCTATGGAAAATGGCATGAAGATTTCTCAAAGAACTAAAAGTAATCCTACTATTTGATCCAGCAATCCCACTACTGGGTTTCTATCCAAAGGAAAAGAAGTCATTTTATCAAAAAGACACCTGCACTTGAATGTTTATTACAGCACGATTCACAATAGCCAAGATGTGGAATCAACCCAAGTGCCCATAAATTCATGAGTGGATTAACAAAATATGGTATACGAATCCTTGGGAAGATGGCGGCTGTGTCAGTGTATGAGCTACCGGTTGGAGGTTTCTCGTTTGATAACTGCCGCAGAAATGCTATCTTGGAAGTCGATTTTGCAAAGAAGGGGTACAAGCTTCCAAAGGCCCGGAAAACTGGCACGACCATCGCCAGGGAGGTCTATAAGGATGGCATAGTTCTTGGAGCAGATACCAGGGCAACTGAAGTGATGGTTGTTGCTGATAAGAACCGTTCAAAAATATACTTCATATCTCCTAATATTTATTGTTGTGGTGCTGGGACAGCTGCAGACACAGACATGACAACCCAGCTCCTTTCTTCCAACTTGGAGCTCCACTCCCTGTCTACTGGCTGTCTTCCCAGAGTTGTGACAGCCAATCGGATGCTGAAGCAGATACTTTTTAGGTTATCAAGGTTACACTGGTGCGGCCCTAGTTTTAGTGGGAATAGATGTTACTGGACCTCACGTCTACAGCATCTATCCTCACAGATCAACTGATAAGTTGCCTTATGTCACTGTGGGTTCTGGCTCCTTGGCAGCAATGGCTGTGTTTGAAGATAAGTTTAGGCCAGATATGGAGGAGAAGGAGGCCAAGAAGCTGGCGAGTGAAGCCATTGCAACTGGCATCTTCAATGACTTGGGGTTTGGAAGCAACATTGATCTCTGTGTCATCAGCAAGAGCAAGCTGGATTTTCTCCGCCCATACTCAGTGCCCAAGAAGAAGGGGACCAGGTTTGGCTGGTACAGGTGTGAAAAAGGGGCGACTGCAGTCCTCACTGAAAAAGTCACTACCCTGGAAATTGAGGTGCTGGAAGAAACAGTCCAAATGATGGACACTTCCTGAATGGTGTCAGTGGGTGGCTGGCTACTGCTGTGGAAGACTGGGGGCATCCGAGGCCCCCCATATGACATTCATTTGGCGAGTGTTTGCTGAATCAAACTCAATAAAATGAAAACCGAATTGGGTGGCTGAAAAAAACAAAACAAAAAAAAAACCAAAATGTGGTATACGTATACCATAGAGTACTACTCAGCCATAAAAACGATGAATTAATGCCTTTTACAGCAATTTGGAAGGAACTGGAGACCATTATCCTAAGCAAAGTATCTCAAGAATAGAAAAACAAACACCACATGTACTCTCTAATAAATTAGAACTAACCAATGGGGACACAAGTACACAGAGGAAAGTAAAAGTCATCGGAACTCAAGCAAGGGAGGGGGGAAAGAGGGGAAGGACAAAACTCCATCTAATGGGTACAGTGAACACTATTCAGGTAATGGATACATTTAAAGCCCTAACTCAAGCTATGTATCAAAAACATCTGTACCCCCTTAACATTTTGAGATTAAAAAAATAAAAGAATTAGGAAAAAAAGAGAAAAATCTCCATTAAGAGCTGATGTTACAAACAGGCTGATAGCATCCTCAGGGGTGTGGTACTTGGGTTCATTTCTATTTTAACCTTGGCCTGAGTGCACACCAGCTTTACAAAGTTTGCATTGAGATCTGTCTTCTGCTCCTGTGCCCTTAAGAGTGTGATAACTAGAACTTCTGCTTCACCTGATGGCAAATTCCTTCATGGTAAAACCAGCTGAACGGCTCTGTTTACCTCTCTGGCTTCCCATTGTCACTTAGTTTTGGGTGTCTTAGTATTCCTTACTTTCTTGCCAGTATGTCAATGTATGTAAAAGGAATTTTTAAACCTTTATTCAACATCGTTAGTGAATTTCAGAGAGAGGGACAGAGAGCGAGCGCGCCTGCCTGTGTTCCCAGCCCACCAATATGTTAGATATGAAGTCTCCAGTGAGTCTCTTTACTGTGTACCTCTCAGAAGAGAGTATGGCAGGGGTTAGGAGTCTAGGCTGTGGATAAGAAGATAGACTGGTATAGCCATATTGCCTAGGTTCAAATCCCAGTTCCGCCAACCACTATTTATGTATTCTTAGCAAAACTGTTTAACTTCTTTGTCACAGATTCCACATATGATTATTGGAAGGAGGAAGTATGCAGAACTCAGAGAACAGTGCCTGCCACTGCACTCAATAAAAGCCAGCCGTGGTGGTGAGGACGCCGATTACCACGTCACACTGACCTGGTCTTGGACATCCTCATCACACAACTCCAGCTGCATAATACGCTCAAAAGGTCGGAAGAGTGCTTCATTAAAGTGGAAATGAGGCGGCTCGTTCCAGTCCGTGAGAACCTCTGTCAGTATGTCATGGATGAAGGAAACAGCCTTCTGAGACACATGTCTTTCCTTATGGCAGGCAGCCTGCAAAATGCATGAGAGAGTGGAACACCATCAGGACATCAGGCAAGTAAGAACGTGGCTTCTAAAGGCTTTCCTAACCCACCTCATTACACGGAGGTGGAAGCAGCAACTCTGTCAAAGTCAAATAATTCTAAAGGATAAGTATAGATGAACCGCACAGTACATTGCACTTTAAAAAATTTAGCCAGCTTATCAGACACAACTCCAATTTTACTGTCATATTTCTGGGAAAAATAAAAGTTTCTAGTAATTTCTTTTTCTGGAACATGACAGTTTTCTTGAATGGTACAGAACATGCTCACTATAAAGACACCAGAACTCCACATGGTTTCATCCTTAGCTATGCCCCAGACATAAGAAGGTGGGATGACTCATCTGTCCTTCAGCCAGGTGGGCCGATTGTCACAATATCTCTAACTGGTTCTCACCTCCTGGTATCCATGCCCTTTTGTGGTCCTCTCCACACTGACCCTGGGCTTGGACGTGTGACTTACTTTGGCAAGTGGAACAAAAGCAAACACTATGTAAGTAAAGAATTAAAAAGTAGTTGTGATCTGAGGTTTGCCCTCTTGCCGTTCTCTGGAATCCTAAGAATGCCACATGAACAAGCCGGGCTGGTCTGCTGGAGGCTAGTCTACACGTGAGACCTGCAGAGGAGAGGCCTGTTTGTCTAGTCTTCCCAGTTGAGGCCATCATGAGCCAGCTGACCAGAAATATACAATTAAGGCCAGCTGAGCTGGCCCAGGCCAGAAGAATTTACCCAGATTAGTGTTATTTCAAATTTCTGATCCACAGAATCGTGAGCTAAATAAATGGTTGCTGTTGTAAGCCACCAGGTTTTTGGGGTGATTTATTATAGTGTAATAGATTTCTGATATATTCTTTCCCCATGACTAAGTTACCATTTGCTACCTCCTTTCCTTACTAGAATGTTTTCAGGTTAGTGATTTAAGTTCCAAAAAATATTTTATGATACATCTCTACCGGAAAAGTGCTAAAGAGGTACTAACAAGAGTTATCACTGCAAAACAGGGCAACAGTTTTCCCTGTCAACTTAGAAGTAGCCAGTCTTCATGTACTGAAATGTTTAGATGTAGAGTTGCCATAAAATTGATCACATGAACTGCTTTCCTTTGGAGAATGAAGGGGTCCTAGTATTAATTTTGTTGAGAAAACCAGGACGCATTGCTCCCCTGCAGAAAGGATGCCGTCCTGAGTATATTTAGCTATCAGAAAAGAGGGACTGGCAGGAAGCAAAGATGTTGTTATATTTCGGTATAAAAATGAAGGTAATAAGAACCATCTACTGTCTTTCAGCTCCAGACTACTCAGGTTGACAGCAGATCATAAAGAAGGAAAAACTGGCTGTGCAAGGCTCCTAGCTGTGTTGTATAACAGTAAAGAAAGAGGGTCATAGTGAGACCAGGCAAGAACTGCCCTTCAGGGTGACTCTTTAGATGCCATGAGGTATAATCATGAAACAGTGCTGTTTGTGGCCTGATGATGGGCAGGTTCTCACTGCTCCATGGGCACAGCGCTTTTTGTGCACACACTGACTGGAAGCCCCTGTGCCAGCTCTGCTGTTCGCCGAGTTGTCAGTTCCAGCCTCTCCCCACCTCCCGGGCGCTCACCTCCACCAGGTGGGGAGCCACGAGGCTCCAGCAGCGCATCACGTGGAGCAGGGGCCGCGCTTTGCTGCGCACGATCCTCAGCATGGCATCCCCCAGGCGGAACAGGTGGAGAGCGCTTTTCCGGTCATGGGTGGATTTAACTTCTCCTGCACGAAGGTAAGACCATAAAAGCCAGAAAGCCCAAATTCAAACAGTCTGAAGCACAGAGAGAGGTTGAAAATCTAGGCACTGTGCTCAGACTAGTGGGATTACTCAGTGTGGGCTAAGGAAGGGGGGACAGAGCCCTGGATTTGAGAAGGACTAGGTGGTTCACCCAGCAAGGCCAGCGCCTCTCTCATTCACCACCGTTCCCTAGTACCTGGGACGCAAAATGTGAATAATTCTTGTTGCTAAGAGGGGATGGAGTAATGGTTAAGTAGGAGGGCTGGGAAGTCCGACTGCTTGGGCTGAAATCCTGGCTGCACCATTTGCCAGTTGTGTTATGCTGGGGCAAAGAGTTTCCTCTCTAATTATCTCATCTGTAAAACTGGGAAAACACCACCTACTTTTTCAAGTTGCTTTAAGGACTAAATGTGATAATACACATAAAGTGCTCAGCATCAGGCCTGGCACGTGCTAACTCACCAACATTTTTAGCTATTGTTATTACTGCTGTCATTGTCGCCCTTCACAGCCATCGTGTGCTTTGCCAATCCTTAATGGCACCTCTGAAGCCACTGCCAGGCAGGCCAGGCCCCTCTGCTACTCAACAACGTGTTGTTTGACCTGCTGTCTTGCCGCAGCACGATCCTTGCCTACCCTGATCTCAGGCCACGTCTGCGCCACTGTCACTGTAGTCTTCCCATTGCCTTCTCACTCGTGTCCTACTGCTTCCCCTATGTTCCCCTGCGGAACACTGATCTTTACCTGGCTCTTCCAACCACAACCCTCCTTTCTAATTAGTCTTGCTGTATCAAGCTTCAAAATAACAGTACGGGTTAAGTATCCCTTATCTGAAATGCTTGAGACCAAAAGTATTTCATGTTTCAAATTTTCTGAAATTTTGGTATATTTGCATGTATCTATATAAATATATATAAGGAGTTATCTTGGGAATGGGACCGAAGTCTCAACACAAAATTCATTTATGTTTCCTATGTAACTTTGCATGTGATTTTATTTTTCCCTTGAGGACCCTGAGTAAACTGCGTGTTGTGTGCCTGCATTTTGACTGTGACCCATCATATGAGGTCAGGTGTGGAATTTTCCACTTGTGATGGCATGTCAGTGCTCAAAAAGTTTTGTATTTTTTAGCGTTTCAGATTTTCAGATTAGGGATGCTCAACCTATAATAATCATGGACATTTACTCTGCATCAGACAGAGTTCTTTAAGTCTTTAATCACTTTAAGTTTTTAAAGCAACCTTAAGAAGTAAGTATAATTATTGCCATTTCACACAGTAGAAAATTGAGTGTCTGAAAGGCGAAAAGACTGGCCTCAGACGCTGCAGCTGGTAAGTGGTGAAGACAGCATTTTGACTCATAGCTGACTGATTCCAAAGCCAGGCTCCCTCGTCCCATGTTTGATGCCTCTTCCCAACCCTGCTCTTTGTTTTTTGTAAGCTCAGAGTCTACACAAAAGACTTTGAAGGTTACCTCTGGGCTCAGATATGCTCTGGAAGTCTGATGCATCTGGGATGCTCGTTTTACATAGCTAAGGTTTTAAAGTCTACTAAAAACTAGAGGGAAAAGAACTGTGGTTCTCAAATCCCAGTCTGAAAGAATGAAAAGGCCAAATATACTGCACTTAGAACTCACATTCCTAAGGATAGAAGCGACCCCAAAGGTTGCGCAGTCCAACCTGCCACCAAGGTGTGTCCCCAGCACATGGCTCCACGTCTCTGCCAGAACTGGTCCAAGACAAGGTGCTCATTGTTTCAGCACAAACACCTGTGCTGCTGATGAACACTTCCATTCCTGAGCAACCTGCCACTCACCTGGCACCCTTGGGCAACTCAGTACAACTCTACTCTCTCTTGTGCAAGGTTGGCCTTAAGAGGGCCTTATCTCTCCACCTGGCCTCCTCGGTGAAGCCAGTGATACTGCCCCACCATTGACAGGATATGCCTCTGAGATCAGTTTTTAAGAGTGGTCTGAGGTTTCTGTTAAGCCTTTCATTTTTCTTTTTCACCATCCCTTTTGCAATCGGTGGTTGCTTCTACAAGTTGGCTGGACGGAGGTGAGTGGTGTGGTTTGTGATACGGAGAAAGGTTCCTGCCCTCATCTGCACCCTAAGTAGTAGCCACACAACTTGTACATCACAAGCACAAGACTTAGCAGAACAACCTAGCCCAGCTACGGCACTAGTACCCACAGACGTGGCAGCAGCGACATTTCCATTCACAAATAGTCATACCATCCCTCACACACTGTGCCTCAAGACTCGGAGACAAATCTGTACTTAAGCTTGGCTCATGACAGTGTGTGCAAAGGGAATATGGATTCAAACCTTCAGGCACACTGCCGTGTTAGAGACCCGGGCTTTCTCCTGCTAACTTCCGGCATGGTTTCTTCAGGGAAGAATTACCTGGCATTGCCAGAGAGTAATCGACTGTATCCGTAACAGAATGGAAAAGCTGGGACTGCGATGCTTTCTTCAGCTGGTAAAGGAAACCTCCTAAAGCCATGAGGTTCAACTTATCTGTAGCATCTTCAAAGAGCCTGGATGCAAACAGAAAGAGATCTGTTATTTGCAAACATTTCAGCAAGGTCTTTAGGGCAGAATGATTATGGTAATTTTGTTGATGTGATTAATGAAAATGTTGTGTAAACACTGTAGACAAATGTGTGGTATTATTGCATCTATTATTACTGTATACAAGTCTGCTCTAACCATGAGATTTTAATCCAAAGGGCACAAAGCATATTTTTAAAAATATAATATCTTTGTACCCTTGTGTTCTAGCTTAGCCATAGTGGGCACTCATAAAATGATGTTTGGTAAGAAGCTGAAAGAAAGCAAAGCCTTGCCCCTAGAAACTGAGTAATTGGGAACAGAATCCTCAGAATTAGCTTCAATTTCACAAATTATGTTAAAAAACAAAACCCAGTAAATTAATCAAGGAGTTTTTGTTTGCCTATAATTTATGAGAATAATGCCGGGCTTGACACTGGGGAGCATACAAAAGCAGTTAATACTAGATCTCATAAGCCCCTCAAGGCTGGGGACTGGCCTTGTACACGCAGAGCCCTGGATGTTATGGGAGCTGAAGTATCTATTGGAGGAAAGAATGTTCCCTAATATGATGGACCTTGCAGGTTATTTTCACTCAGCTGGGCAAAAACATTCCCCGCAGAAAAATTTAGGAAGCATTGGGGAGCATGACAGCAGGACTTAGAAGAGAATCTGAGGGTCACTGGAATAAGGAATGTAAAGATCAAACATCAGTTTCATGTGGCCACACAGGCAATGCACCAGGCCAGCCTTCCATTGCTCTGGGGTCATCCTGCTGCCTGTCCTCCAGGCCTGGGGCAACAGCAGAGGGCAAGCAATGGGGCGCTGTGGGAAGCCATGTGTCGCTCCAGGGAGAGAGTCTCCAATAACAATGGAATCATGAGTCCTTTTTGACGGAGCAAAATGAGACACACAAGTTTTAACATGGGAATCAGTGAATTAAACATTCACAAATTATAGAAACAAAGATATTTTTCTTGCTATTTTGTAATCCCAATTTTGGTACCATTTGGCTTCTGGGTCTCATTAACCATTCCTTCTCCCTCTTTCCTAGTAAGAAAATAGTGGTGAATGTTACACGCTACCTGACACCTGCATATCACTTTCCAGATTCCCAAACACCTTCCCAGCCAGCTTGCTGCATAAGCAGGAATACTGAGCACATGTGCATCCTGCACTGAGTTGGCAGATGGAGAAAGTGAGTCTCAGTGCAGCGTGTGTATGGACATGACCACGCAGAGGGGACGTGTCAGAGCCAGGATGAGAGCCCAGGTCTGTCTGAGCCCAGCCCAGCCAGTGTTCTTCCCCTTCCCCAGCCCCTCCCTGTCTGTCCTCCTTGGACAAACTTCACCGTGCCTGTGCCAGGCAGTCTGGGGCAGCATGGCCAAGTGTGGAAGAGGTGACTGAGGTGGTAGAATGTGTCACTGGTGACCATAAGTATTTTCGATGTCTAGAAGTGTCACCGAACAGTGGAGGCAGTTGTTACTTTTCCCTCTTGACTGTCAAAGGGTTGCTGGGTGTCAATAAATTCCGTATCATCCACTGGGTGTGGGATTTTGTAAACAGTCATAATCGTAAAAATAGTGGATTTTTACCATTTTCCAAGCTCTGCTCTAGGTGCTTCAAGTGAACTAAATGATGAAACCTCACAACTGACCTGTGAGAGAGTTACGTTTAAAAACCACCCTGTTTTACCAGTGCAGAAATCAGGGCCTGGGGCGGGGCAGAGCTTTAGCCCCAGGGGCCTGCGTCAGACCAGACAGCATCAGGCCATAGAAACCTTTCATTCTAAGCGCGGGGCCTGCTGGTAGAGAGAACTAGGTTTGAAAAAGATCAGAGAGATCTGAGTGACCGGCTAACGAATCAGGTTGTCCCCGGAGTGCCTCTGAGAGCAGACAGAGGGACGTGGGTGTCGCTGACACAGGACATTTGGGATGCGCACCTGTCGGCCTGGGTGGACAGGGTGAGCACAGCCGCCGCCGCGCTGCTCCCGCTCACGAGGCCGCCGCCGCGGAAGTCGGAGGCCCGGCCCCGGCTGCCTTCCCGGACCAGGTCCTGGATGGACGGCGGCTGCACCACAGGGCCCGTGCTGAGGGGCCGCCCCTGCTCCGGGCTCTGCTCCGGGGGCGCGCCCTCGCACTCAGGGTCCCCAAGGACGCCAGCGCCCCCAGACGCCTTCCGGGGCTGGCTGATCGTCAGAGGAGGCTGCACGGCACCGTCGCTGAAGTGCGTGTGCTCCAGCGTCCCCACGTACTCGCACACCCTGGGGACAGGCAGCACAAGAGCGTCAGGACCGCAGCTCCCAACCCCACAGCTCTGCAATCCTCCCACGCTTTCCTCCTTTCCTCTTACCACAGCCAGCCCCTCCCTCCTATTTTCTCACTACACTTCATCATATTATTATTATTTTGAGTTGGACCAGACAGCCTGAAAGTGGGTAAAGGGTTCCTCAGGATCTCTCACCCCAGGACGGGAGAAAGATGGGCAATGAAGACCGGTCCACCAGCTTCCATCCCGTCCAGCCTACTGGCTCATCTGGACTCTGGCTGAGTGAGTTTTCCCAAGGGAGCTTCCTCCCTCCATATAGTGCTCTGATTAAAAGCTGGGGAGCTTTTCCTTACGATGGGGTCCCAGAATGACCATGCATATGACGGACAGGCCCTCTGGCCACAATGGGGTTCTGCCCAGGCTTGTCCTGCCTGGTCCTGACAGCTCCATATAACTCATATGACTCATGTCAGGGTGGGGCACGAAGGGTAGGGGATGACACCTAATCAGGGGAAACACAGAGAAGAGTCACAACATATGGTACAACTGCCAACTTCTAAGTTGTTTGTTCCTAACAGAACTTGGGACTAAGATGGTTCATAGGAGGTCCCTCATCCCAGAGTAAGTCCAGTGAGTGGTCAAGAACTCCTAGATAATCCACTCGGATGTTCTATAATTGGGGAATTTTTCGATCCCATACATATTGCTTGGCTGCCATCTGAGCCTTTTTCTTTTTTCTTGTTAGAGCAATGAAGAGTAGCAGGTGACCAGCCTCCATGTTAAACCCATTTTGCTCCTGGCTGATTCCTCCTGGTCCTTTCACATGTTCCTCTCAAGATCAGTTTTTCAATCCTTGAATAATCTACATGATTCTCTCTTTGAAACTCGACAAATACTCATGGCTACACTTGCTTTGAAGATGTCAAATGGAGCCCAGATCTGGTCAGTGCCCTGGGCCCTCATCCCAGCTCCTGCCCCTTGGCTGCTTTGCCTGACCTGGGCCTGGTGTCAGGCAGGCCTCGGGCCTGTGCCGCAGAGGAGAAGGAATAGCCAGCAGCCCTGCCATGCCTGCTCTGTAAACAGTGCTCCTTCCACTGTACCGGGTCTGCCCTGATGCAATGTCTGGGGAGACGTGCTTTTTGTCTTAGTCATAGGAAGATTTGAACTTTGCAGCTACTACTTTGTTTTCATCTTACAGACACTGTGAACTATTAATATATAACTGATTGAGAGTTTCTTTTCACTTTGATGCTACAATGCTTAGAGCCAAATTTTTGGTCTTTGGCACAGATGAACTATTCTATTTTTTTTTCCTTTGTCTAGCTAAATTATAATAAAAGTAGATATCTTATACTTCATGCATCCATGGACATCCAAAATCCTTCTTTCAAGAAAGAAAACATTGATAAACATACAGCAATGTTATATTGCTGACATGTGACCAGTTTTTAGATTTGTACAGTATTCACCCAACTTACAGGGTCTTCTATCATTCACTATTTAAGAAATTCGTTTTTCTTCGTTGGTACAACATATTTGTCTCTCATAGATAATGTCACTAGGTAAGTTGTGATTCCCTAAATTCAGCTCCCTCACCTGTTCTTCAAAACATATATTCCATTGGATTCTAATTCCCTTTTCCCTTCTTATCTCTCATTTGGAGTATATTCAAATTCTGTGAAACATCATAATCTATTTAAATCTATTGAGCCCGCCCCTTCCCCAGGCTTCCCAAGGCAGGGTGGGTGCCACCGGGTGCGGGGTCCCGTCATGCACCTGAACACGTGTGGCCAGCAGTCCGGGTTGTGGCTCCCCATCTCCAGGCCTACGCTGAGGATGGCCTCCATGCACAAGATGTGGGCTGTGTGCAGCCACACCCCCTGCACCTTCCCAATCTGCTCCAGTTTCTGCTCCACTTTTAGTTTCACTGTGCCAGAAAGACATTTATTAAAATAACAGTCTGAGCAAGGGAGACAGAAAGGGAGAGAGAAAGAATGAAAATGAAAGAATGTGTTGTCATGCAAGGGCAAAGGGAAAAACGACAGACTTCACTGGCAGCAAGCTCCTCTGTGGCAGGTCCTCGTGGTTCATCATGCAAACTATCCAGCCAGCACACGTTGGTGACCCCCGTTCTGCAGCTTCAGAAGTTGAATGGATCCTGAGCTGATAGGTGCAATTCCTTGTAGCTAGGAACTAAACTCCATCTGTGCCTAGACTCTTCACTTTCCCCTCAAATTGGTTTAACGTGATGGAAGACTTCTCTGAGACTGGTTTAACGTGATGCTTTCATTATGAGGACCATCTCTAAAACAACTACGTATGTACACTCTGAGCACCAGGATGACTGCGTTACAACTGAAAATTACCATATCATTTCACTCCCTGAGTTTATATTTGTATTTGTGAGCTCCAAATAATACTTTTAAATATTATAGATGGCAAATGAGAAAGGACACAGAAGGTGACTTAAGATGTCAATAATGCAAAATGCCAAGGCAAGGCCAAAGGACACTGTGTTCTCCTTGAATAAAGGTTTCAAGTGATTGTATCTCATAGGATGACTAAGTGATGGTCCAGAAGCACAAAATACAGCAAGCTAACTGCTAAGGAATCTGAACCACATTCCTGTTGTAAAGAACAAGGTGATTTTTAGCAAAACATCATTTGGCTCATGAATGTGATACTAATTTCATTTTTTATTTGTACATAATTTGAATATTTTGGTTTTGGTTTTATGGGTTTAAGAACTCTAAATGTAGGGATTTTTCCATGGCTCACAGTTGTACAATACTTAAGTAAAACTGTGAAACCCTTTTTTCAGTAAACACTGGGGAACTGTGAGAACTGCTTTGCTTTCAAATGGGTCTCTAAATATTCTTTGAGTTTGAGGAACACTGACCTAAGTTGTTTTTCTCAGCTGAAAATGTCCAACTGTCTCTGTGACTGGCTGTCTTACATGTCGGATAGACAGTATTAGCACCATTTGGAGCAAGCTTGCAATTCTCCTTTTGTTTGCTGCTGCCTTCTACCTTCCATTGCTATTAGGAAGGTCATTCTCTTCTATCTAGATATTCATCAGCTTCACTGACGCACTGATTTTAACAAGTTAAAAACCAGCTGTTTCCTGAGTTCACGAAGCTTGGATTTCTCTTGACAAGAGCAAAGTGAGCCTCTTCTCATGAATTTCCTCCATTTGTTTGATTTGCCCCTTCAGAACACTGCCAATCTGCCTTCCCCCACTATAACCTGCGGGGTCTACGAGTGTACACTTTCGTGAAGCAGCGGCCCACGGCACTCCTGTTAGCAGTCAACGGCACTTTCCTTGTCTCAAGGGGCCAGCATGTCTCTCGTCTCCAGAGGGGGCTACGGTAAGCACTCTGTAAAAAACTTAAAACAGATCCAAGCCTGTTGCCCAGTGGGGTCCTGTGAGCAGTGGTGTACATTACTATATACCATACACAGAACGGGGACGAGCGTCAGCTTGATGCAGGTGTGTGCCCACCACATCCAAAGCACCAGTGGATAATGGCCCGTCAGCTGTTACCTTGTGCGATGGCATCACTGGGTTCTTGTGCCTCCCTTTCCTCTTTCTCTTCCTGGACACAGGAGGCAGCCGCCATCTGGGCAAGGGCCGAGGCACAGTTAGCAGCAACCCCTATAGAGGAGACAAATATTTACCCCTTGACTGAGTGTATTCTCTAATCATTCACCTAGCAAAACCCCTTCTAAAGAACTTCTTTCCCACCAGAGTCGTTCCCAGTGAGTTCTGTAGGAACCACTACTCCTGCCGGTACCTAGAGCGCAACTCAGCCGCGCGGCTTTCCGCAGCCCGTCCAGGCTCATGCAGATGGCATCCCGTTCCTTCTGGTTCTGCTCTTTGATGCCCTCGGCTCCCAGAATGAAGGCTAGACCTTTGGAGCTCCCCGCCATTCGGCCCGTCAGGGGGGTTGATAAAGTATCGATCAGGTTCTTCCAGCAGCCAACCAGAATATAGCGAGCAAATGCCACGCCTGGAACATGAAGGGGTGTGGGTCACTTTCCAGACACAAAAACAACCTGGCTATGAAAAAATGGGGTTCTCTGGCTGTCAAATTAGCAATACTGAGTTGCATGCAATTCTATAACAGGAAAAATAATTTAATGGACTATATGGGATTATGTCTCATTTTGTGCTTGTAAATAGTGAATGTTGCATCATTAGGTGGATGACGCTAAGTAACTTCATAAATTAACTTTTCCTACCAAGACAAAATCTTGATTCATTTATGTTATCACATAATAATGTAATTGCTGGTAACGTATGCAATGTATGTATATTCATAAACTCAAGACCCGAGTCACTACCTGCCACTGTGGAGTCATCGATTCTCCTGCTCTGGGTGAAGGGAGACTCCGTAGCAGCCGAGGCCATCAGCTGGCCACCGATGGCACTGCTCTCCAAGCCGTCAATATCTGCCAAGGAAAAAAGGTGAGGTTCCCCCCAAATAACACACTCCAGGCAAAAACAAATGACCATCACAGTATTCATTGTTAACAAATACCCATTATATCTACTGTGTATGAAGTATGTAGCAACTTTTTATCAGAATATTATAAATTTGGTTTTATTCACTTGGTCTAATTTTCTTTCATTGTCAGAGTATTCTTCTGTTATATTATGGTATATTTTTAATTTGAAAAATAAAATTATTATTTCTCTGTTTGAAACTCCATTGATTTAGAACATCTCAATCTTTGAATATTCTTTTTATTCAAAACCAAGGCATTATTCTCAAATTTTATGTTACTTTAATGTGGATTTTTCTTTTAGAGCTTCCTCATATGAATTAAGATGAGAGTAAGCCTCTTTGGTCAGATAATCATATGCTCTGATTGCGAAGTACAACAATAATAACATACAATTTTTGAAGTGTTTTCACATAACACTTTTCATTAATTTCCCAAATAATTTAAAGTAGGTAGGCAGGGTTGGGTATTATTTTTCCTATTTCACAGAAGAGGAAACAAATATAGTCATGTGCCACAGCATGATGTTTTGGTCAATCATGGACAGCATATAAGACAGTGGTCCCATAAGATTATGGTACAGTATTTTTACTGTATCTTTTCTATGTTTAGATACACAAACACTCACCATTGCGTTACAACTGCCTACAGTATTCAGTACAGTAACCTGCTGCACAGGTTTGCAGCCTGGGAGCAACAGGCCATACCATATAGCCTAGGTGTGTGTAAGTACACTCTGTGATGGTCACACAATGACAGAATCGCCTAACAACACATTTCTCAGAACATACACCACCACCCCCAAGTGATGCATGGGTGTATTTAAAGTAGGTAAATTGCTCAAGGCCACAAGGTTGGTAAGAGAAGGAATAAGACTTAATATTCATGTCTTCTGACTCCCAGCCAGGCCTCTCTGCAGGAGACCATATTTCAGCTCAGTATGGGATGTTAAATTACTTTAAGTTTTTGTTAAACTCTCATCTACAGACTTAGCTCCACAAATCCTTCATGAGTTAGTATCATGTTGATAATCAGATTGCTGCTATTGTTTCTCCTTGCATATAATGAAAAGATCAGATAGAAGTTTCCAAACTCTAGGTTAACTTCTACTGAAATCAACCTATCACTTAACACCTGGAATTTGCCATAAAGAATCATAGAACCTTATTTTGTCAAATTTTTATGAAAAGCCTATGGATTTTTTAAAAATCATTAATCTAAAATAAAATAACTTTCCTATGGACATAGCAATTGAGCTTACTGTTTCATTATAAAAGAGATGGCTGATTAACAGTGATGACTGATGAATATGGCAACTGTGAATAGTCTGTTATTTGTTCATTTTACATCTACTGAATGACTCCTTTTATTAAGGTCTGGGTAAGAACTTCATAGATTACTTTTGGCAGAAACTACGGTATTTGCAAATTAAAGCTGGAATGTTTAGGATCCTCATCCAAATTCCAAGACACTTATAAGCTCTGGGCAGTACCTTCCATCCCTACTGGAAGAAGTTTGTTCAAACAGATGGAAACCAAGCATTGCTCACAGGTAAACTAAATAAATATCTCACACATATTTGAATAATTATTTTTCAAATGGATGTAAATGCTATCATGATTAACAAAATATAAATTGGTCACCTGTCCAGTGATCACAATCCCCAAGGCTTTGGACTCAGCCTTGCTTCCCCCAACAATTCCATCCTAGTTCTGGAAGCAAGACTCAAAATGCCAGACAATCACCAGGACTCTGCCATCCATGCACAGACCTCACTGTATGTCTCGGCTCCCTGCCTGATTCCTAAGTAGTGTCTCACCCCAAATTCCTCATTGTTGGGTTCTACCTGCTGGTAGTCCGCTCCACCACCTTTGGAAGAGGCTCCAGCACCAACCACAGGCAACATAACATATCCATTAGACAACAGATTCTACCTCCTAGCTGGACCGTCCTGCCCAGACCAGTCCTGTTCCTGTCTGGCACTGAGCCACGCTGAGCCGTGTGAGGATGTGGGACGCTATGGGGGCTGGGGTGTGTCTGGTACAGGGCCACACTCTGCATCCCCTGTCAGCCGGCACCAGGAGAGGATAACTGAGATCAGAAAGCAGTCTGGGAGCTCAGAGCAAATCCAGGAGAAGCCTGGAGATCTAACTTACTAAGGCTACTGATGAGCAAACCAAATTTCTAAGCACTTCCTGAACTTTGACATCATGGCTGAGCCATAAGAATCCACAAAATGCTGCTTTTGCCAAAAAAAAAAAAAAAATTGATTCACAACAATACTGCATATTGCTGTCTATGCTGTCATGTGAAATTCCTAAAAGTTAAATAGGATTTTAAAAATTCTCTGGACACTGAAGACAAAGATGCCGGGCAGGCGAGTATCTGGCATCATGCTTAGTTCTGGCATAGCTAGGAGGGGAGGGAGGACCTCTGATATGGACAGGAAATGGGAATGAAGCCAAGCTCAAAACCAGTCACTTTGCATTACTGGTAACATCCCAGGACCACCGAGTGATATGGGCATCTATTAGCATGTGAGAGCTTCTAGGAGTATTTCCAGGCTTGGTCCCCAGAAAGTACTACTTACCCATAGAAGAGGCCTATAGTTTTACACCAACAAACAAAGGTGCTAAGTTAGTCCTTATCTAATGGGCCACAGTGAATCCTACAGACTCTCACACGGAGAAAGGACAGAAAACTGAAGTGAATTCAGGTCTGAATTCACAGAAGTGAATTCATGACACTTCCCTGGAACTGTCACCACCTGCCAGGGAAGCTCTGGGGATGCTGTTTCGAAGTCTGCTTGACACACCATCGTTTCTCTGAAAGCGGCTTTGAAGCGTGAGCCATCCCTCCCTGCCAGGTGACCGCAGCCCGAGAGGAACCACTGACCAGTGAGCATGGTGATGAGGGGAAGGCTGTTATCCTCAGGGCTGCCCCAGTAGCCGGCCTCTCCGAGCATGTTCCTGTCCAGCACCTGATGGTACAGTTCCTCAATCCAGGCCTGGGAAAAGACCATCAGCACCCCGCTGGTCTGCACCTGCTTCATGAACTCTTTCTGCAGAGACAGAGCACATGTGGAGGTGACCAAACACCAAATCCCCTGCAAACAAACAGGCTCCCAAGCCCTCTGCCACCTCTTCACGTCACACATCCCCGAAGCAAGTCAAGCAAGGCAAGGGGGGGAAGCTGAGATGGAGAGGTCCCTAACGTCCTGAAGTTCCTTTCACTTACGGCACCTTGACAGATACCCTGTAGAAGAAGTAGAGAGGCTGCATTTTGTATTTTCCCTCTTTGATGTGTCGGAGGGCTAGCAACTGCGCAGGTATCTGCAACACAGCTGCTCTTCTCACTGGCCCGACAGCACAGAGATGGAACGTGCTCCCTTAAGGAACAGGAGAGCTTCAAAAGATACCTCACTTATATAACTTATACATACACTTACCCTTGGGAATTTACAACTTATTAGGCAAACAATTATTCCCTTCATGCAGGGCCACGATTTCAGCTCAGGAGCTGACAATAGGTACACCACGGAGTGGCTTGTTCAGTTAAGGGAGCCAACTGCAGGACAATCAACATTATATTCATTGCACACCTTACCTATCAACGGTCAGTAAGCTTAGTTCTGGGTCACCAGGAGGTCTGAGAACATTTTTGAATCCAATGAAGGTTTTTGTAACAGGAAGCTTTCATCTGCAGCAGATTTTCAGCTATTGCTGTGCAAAAGCACATCTGTGCCCTCACGTTGTCGTCTCCTTCCACCCCCACAGACATTACCAGTCCAGAGCAGTGAGCAGTGTGGGACAGATTGCACCTCACCACACCTCTCAGGGCACCAGTTCTGGGACGTACAGCCAGGAGGCCACAGCCTGCCCTCGGGGCGTCTGAGTCAGACCACACACTCACCATCACGCTTGGGGCCAGGGTCTGCCGCTTCCTGTAGTAGTCGCCGTGGGAGAGCTTCAGGTTGAGGAGCAGGGCGCAGTGTGCGGCCGTGTACAGGCTGTCCGCGTTCATCAGCATCTGGAAGCTGAGGCTGTTGTTCCCGTCAAAGCCAGGAGAGTGCATCATGCCTATGGGAGGGAAGCAAGAGACCTTCAGGGCTACAACACTGCTCTTGGCAAGACCCGCTTCTGGAGAGCCATGAGCCAATCCCGGCGATAGAAACTGCATCTTGCAGAACATTTCTGTATGGCAACGACAGCCAGCCAGGAATATCGCTGGGGCCAGATACACACCCTAGCACGGTGGTAAAGTGCATGCACTCTGGAGTGGACTTGCCTGGGCTTGAGGCTTCATCTCTTAGCAGCTATGACTTTGATAAAATCATTTAAACGCTCACTTTCTTTCCCTACAGATAGGGAGAATCGCTGGTTGCATTCTAACCCCTGCGGGAAGCTTCCAATGGCTTTCCATTGCAGTGTGATAACACCCGACCTCACTCTCCTCTCTCCTCATCCCCATGGCCACCTTGTCCTGCCTGCTGTGCCTTGACCACGACAAGCCTAGACCTGCCTCAGTGTCTTTACATTTGTTTTTGCGACTCCCTGGAATGGTCCCCCCCCCGCCCCCGCAAGATCTCTGGAAGACTTGCTCCCTTGTTCTTCGAGGTCTCTGCCCAAGTGTCAGCCAGACTTTCCCTCTGAAGTCCATCTAAATAGCATTCACCCCTTCACACTCCAATACTCTATTTTCTTACCCTGCTGTTTCTGAATTGCTTCAATGGCATTTATTCTACTCAGCATCATAATATATACTTATTTATTGTCTGATATGACTACTATATGATCAATGAGAAGGTAGCATTTTGTTAGTTTTGTTCACTACAGAATCCCCAGTGCCTAGAACTGTGCCTGGTACACAGCAGACCCTTGAAAAATATTTGCTGAATGAGTAAGAATGAACGAACAAGCTTGCTGTGAGAACTAGGATGCAATAATGTATGTAAGATGCTTAGGACAGCTACTCATAAATACAAACTTTTCAAAAGGTAGTAATGTTCCTCCAAAAGCTGAATATAGAATTACCATATGATCCAACAATTCTACTCCAAGTTATGTACCCCAAAGAATTGAAAGCACAGATTTGAACAGATACTTGTAAATCAATGTTCACTGCAGCATTACTCATAATATCCAAAAGGTGGAAACAACTTAAGTGTTTGACAGATGAATCGATAAACAAAATGTGGTATATACATAAAATAGAATATTATTTAGCCATAAAAAGGAATGGAGTTCTGATACATGCCCCAACATAGATGTACCTTGAAAGCATTATGCTAAGTGAAATAAGCCAGGCACAAAATGACAGATATGTATGATCCATTTATATGACAGAAAGTAGGATTGGAGGTTACCAGGGACTAGGGGGAGGGTAGTTTCTATTTGGGATGACAAAGTTCTAGAAATAGTGGTGTTGTTTGCTCAATATTGTGGTTAAAACAAGTAATAATGTAATATATCAAAACTCATCAAATTGTGTACTTTAGGTTAACTGTGTGGTATGTGAATTATCTCTCAGTAAAACTGTTAAAAAAAATAAATGAGGAAATAAAGAGGTTTGAAAACCATAAGTAATAGCTATTGATTTTCTCCCCATTATTTTTTCTAAAAAAATTATACAAAATCTTTATGCTTAATAGGGTTTTCATTTTGAAAGGTCCTTTAAGCTTTATACGAATTAACTGAAAAAACAAATCAACAACTGTATCTCATACTCCAAAGATGGGGTCATTCAGCCAGAGGGTTTGTGCCTTGTTCAAACTTTCACAGAGAGTTTTGGGGTGACAAAATTACCCAAGTCAGTTCTCTGCATCTGGCACTATGCTAGAAGTCCCAGGGCCCCCTGCAGGCAGCCACTTCCAGGCCCTCATGTCCACATACTGCTGTCTGGAGCCCCATAGGCCTTGGCAGTCCCGAGCAGCACAGCACAGAACACACAGCACCGCTCCTCTCAGAGCAGCTCAAGAGATTTTAAATTGATGCTCCATTTGTTCCTGTAAATACTCTTGATGCTGCATTTAGGGATGCAGGGAAAACAGTCCCTCCATACATATGTACATGCAAATTACACATGTCCATACACTCTTCAGACCATGTCTAAAATTATCCTTTCATCAAAAATATGTCTATTAGATGAAATGTACAAGTTTTCCAGAATTAACAGTCAAATAAGCAAGAAATACATATTTGTAATTGGCATGTTTATTCAGTGACATTATCCACCTGCATTTCAATGAACATGCAAGTTCAGGAGGATATGGGCCAGAAAAAGCTTTCAAAGTTGAAAAAAATTCAAGACCTTTGAGAACAGTATGAACATTTTTTGGTGGAAGTATATGTATTCTTTCAATAAGACAACCTCCAACAATCAAAGGTTCAGCATACCTCTGCTTTGTTGTATAGAGTTCTGTAAGAACTTTGCAGCTGACTTAAGAGACTTTTTACTGAGAGTATTCTGTAATCACAGGCTAAGGTGCATTTTAAAAGGAAGATCAGGTTGAGAGTGGGATTTGTAAATTACATCTTTGGTCAGGACATGAGCAATATATCTCAGCCCTAACGATTCATGGGAACCTCTAACACACTCAAGGTGCTGGCGGGGTTGCTTCCAGTTGTCTGGAGGAGACACAGGGTATAAGATCAGTCTCCTTCCATGGTAAAATAGAAAGCAGCATTCAAGGTTGGGTATTTAAACTATCTTGGATCATAGTAAAAGCTACATTTGAGTATATGAACAAGGCGAGAAAAAATCTATAAGTGGCTTTGATATTAGACATTAGTAATAATTTCTTTAAAAATTTTGAAACCAACTATATTTACCTTGGAATGGGTTTTGGAAAACTGAGCACTTGCTCAGATGCTGAAAGTGCAAAAAGCGGCTAATGTGACTGCTGACATGGAGGCTGAAGTCATCAACAGAGAGGTGACAAAGCCCTGCAGGCACTGGTGGCAGAGACACTGAATTCTGAAATAGTTTGTTGGACTTGTTGGGGCAATCTGTTGGTACTGGCCTATATCTGCACACAGATTAATTTCCTAAATTACAAAGAACTGGAAAATTTGAGAATAAAACAAAATGAGGTCTATTCTATCAACTTAAGGAAAATAACCATTTTCTTGCTATATCAAATATAGTTCACTGGTTATATTAATAATAATGAAAATAACATAATATTGATAACTATAATTTAATGAATGCTTTTTATTGCCCAAGACTAATCTCTTCTCATACATTATTTCATTTGAACATGCTCCAACTTTATTTACCAGTAATGAAAGTGCCTAAGAGATGTAATTTGTCCAAAGTTATATAGCTAGAAATTGGCAAAGGTTTTTTGGGCCCAAACTCAGGGTTTTTGCACTATGCCATGCTGCGCTTGCTTCTAATGCTGTGAAAAGATTCCACTGCATCGTGCCCCTCTCTAATAGATATTCTGTTTTCCATCCATCCTTCTGCTCAGTCTCCTTGATGTGTTATCCAATTCGGAGTGACAAACTGCAGGAACTATGACCTTTAACATATTCTGGCAATTTGCATTTCCCCGTTTTTGGTAACTAAAGTTCATTCTCTCTCTCTGTAATTAAGATGAGCTTTACTGTCAGAACAGGATAGACATCACCTGCTTGACTGGCTACCAGTGAAAGATTAGATACAAGATCAGCACAAATGACCTCTCTAAGTCCCTCCCATGTCTAAGATAATCTGATATTTCCTTTTTTGATAAACATGAAATACAACATTTAACAGTACTGAAGAGTATAAAAATAAAAACAATAGTCCACGTTTCTCCTAAGTCCCAATGATATCCCCCCATCAGTAAAACTCACTTCCTTATGTGTATGGACAAATTGAGATCACACTACATACATTTGGGAACGTACCTTGATGTTTTCTAACAACATATATGTTAGACATCTCTTGATACTGGCACTTACAGATCTGCCGCATTCTCTTCCAGTGACTGTGCACATAACACTGTGTGGTTACATTGTGATTTATTTAATTAATGCTCTATTGGGTGGACATTTATTTTGTTTCAATTATGAAGAAAGCTGAAATGATGAAATAAATGTTAGCACTTCTGCAAGTGTATTTGTGGGGTAAATTCCTTAAAAGCAGAATAAATATATATTTTAAGTGTGACAGGTACAGCCAATATATTTTCCAAGTAGTTTTGTACCAAATTTTCCTTCTGCTAACTGTGCATAAGAATGTTCTTACACCTATTCTCAGCAACGGTGGGCATTATTAACTTTCTAAACCTTCTTAATAAGATTATACAACTTTGCTTAGTGATAGACTTTTTTTTTAATTAGGTCTATGGTTCTAATTTTAATGTAACATTACTGCTTGATTTCCTGACGTTATAAGAAATTGTTTTTAGAGATTTGAAAAAGGTATAAAGAAGAAAATAAAAATCTATAATATTATTCTAAGTAGTATTAATATCTTAATGTGAATTTTAAAAATTAATTATGGCCATTTTTCATATCATTAAATATTTGGAAACATCCCCATTTTAAATGGCTATATGTCATAAATGTATGTACCATAACTCATTGAACCTTTCCCTTATTTTGAGGAAGTTGTGTTATTTCTAATATTTTTGCTGTTAAATGCTACTATGTACATTTCTACACATAAATCTCCGCCCGAGTTTCTGTTCCTTTACTGTAGCCTCCCAGGAGCCAGTGAGATGCTAGGTATCCACTGCTGTCTGTCAGGACTTGAAAAACTGCCACACAGTCGCTGGGCTACAGTTTTACAGCCACTGTGGTTGCTTTTATACCAGAGCAAATCAACTCCAGAGGTTTTTGTGTTCTTAAACAGCATTTCCCAAATAATTAAAAATCCTTTAGAAGGTACATGTAGACTTAAGGATCCACCAAAAGGAGAAATTAAGTACACTGTGCTAAGTTAACAGGAATGGATATAAGGTATCACAAGTCATATTTTCAAAGAATAAAGACACAAGGAACATGCTAACAAAATATTAAATATAAAGTTACAAAATTATACACATAACATATTCATTCCCTGCTCCTGTCCTAGTACTGTGTCATGTAAT